TTTTTATTAAGTATCCTTCTCTTAGACGACAACACAGCAGACTGCTTAAAGTACAAGTAACTTTGTCGTCAATCTGTTTTTTCTTCAATAGTTGACCGCTTCTATGTCCATGGAAACAATTATTTTCAGTTCGCCAACAGTGACGATCCGATGTATTACCGTCCGATATATTCCGATATAATTGCCAGCATAAAAAATGTTTATGATAAAGATTCATATTTGTTCCATGTACAGGCATCTATAAATATAAAACAGTTATATTGTAATTAATTTAGTTGCTACTAAGTAGGCACAGTAATATAGAAGAATAGAAAAGTCTATGTACCACATATGAATTGAAGGACATGTAACTACCAAGCGTAGCTGCAGCGATAAAATACAATAGATCTTGATATGGCACTAAACCATCCGCACAATGTGGATTATACGCACTGCCTACGCGCAAAAAGCTACATGCAACCGTCGTTGCGCGTAGCTGCTGTATAATGGAATCTAACGTGTGAGCGTTCTTAATTCCGATGATACCATCCGTGACTATTACCATATCTGAAAATGTTTCTTTCTCTGCACTCTCTGTTCTCCACAACATTTTTTTCCATTACCTTGCATAGCGTATACATTAGGTAAGATGTAACCCGCTAAATACGATCATAAATTACAAACTCACGTGCACAGCTGTGCTCAGGTAAAAGTGTCAGAGCCAGCATCCCATATCTCAACATATTTACAAAACTGGCTTCCGGTGAAACTATGGAGATATTACAATTATTTTTGTTCAAGCAGGTGCTACTTTCCTCAAAAAGCCTCCCTACCAAACGCTCACTCTCTGCCCTTAAATTTTCTAATTGCTGATTAGCTATGGCTGTGACCGTCGCCACTCTCTCCTCTAACAGGTACAACTGTTTTTCTACGTATTGTGTGAGAGAATTTACGTTATCCGAAGTAATTAGCCATCCTTGCACTAGTACTTGTTGCGCCGGGCTTGTAAAGAACGGTGTATGAGCTATCACAGTCACATAAATTTCAGGCTGCATCACACGCCTGCTGCCTGGTACAGTAAACTACACATATACAGATATATAATAAATTAAGAAATTTCCTTTTTTTTTTATGAATTTGCAACGTAAAGGAAAAGATACTCACAGGTCTAGTTATACCTTCTAAACATCGTTTCGTCGTCAGACACACCTCGTCAATGACAATCTCTCCGCTTTGTACATCCTAAAAAGATGTTAATTTTATTTCAGCTGACATATGCTGCTACGAAAATTAATATTCCATAACAAAATTATAATTTTGTAATACTTACAACAGTGGCAAGCGACGGACTTAAATCTAAGCTAAAAACCATCCTATACTTGTGCGCCAAAAATACAATTGATGTCGTTGAAACAACTTTATAAAGAAATTGATAGCTGGTATCTGTAGACCATCCGACAGGTTTATCCTTTGGCAGTACAGATACTATTTCCAGTTCTGGTTCTTCCTTACTTTTCGTATTAGGACATTGTATACTTATCACAGAGTCCAAATGCTCCAGTAACCATTGAACTCTCACATTACGAGAGATGGGAAAGCCCTTCTTCATTAATAGAAAGATAGTCTCTGCTTCTAACACAGTTCTATCCTGTACAAAGGAAAAGAATTATGGTTAACAAATAAAATAATTACTATAGTAATGGGTCTGTTTTTAGAATAGTTGAACATTCTTTGTATTTAATTCAAATTTTTGCCAAAATCTTTAATACAATTATGTATTACAATTACATTAAATTTGTAATACATTAATGACACTGAGTCTGTAACATATCTATTTATGTTAATTTTTCTATCCTTTTATCTATTTCTCATTGCACTGAAAAAAACTCAAAAAGGAGTCAGAACGTCTACATTGTATCATCCATCTTTGCAAAAAAAAAAATACTATGTAATTTGTTAATAATTTGTTAATATTTCACATTAATAATTGCTATGGTTTTTGTCAGCAATTTTAATTTTGATTTGTGATTCAAAACAAAAAATGAATATTAACTATATTTTAATAAGAATAATTTAAATTGCAGATGTAACATAAAGAAAATTGAATTTTTAATAAAAAGACTTATAACTGACAATGAGTAGCTCCAGTAGATCCATCGTTAGCTCCAAAGAGACATAATTATGTAGATCCAACCAACTGTGCAGATTTAAAATGAAATGATACACATTTATATTTAGTGTAAATGAAAAAGAAAATATAGTCAGTGCAGCAACACACACACACACACACACACGCGCGCGCGTACACAAACCAAATTCTTTTGAACAATGCAGTTATTTTCAGAAATCAATTTAGATTTATATTATGTATCCGCTTTAGATAATGAAAAGCATTATATCTGCCTATTAAAATATATTTTTAATAAATAAATAAATTGAAATAAATTTTATAAAATCCAATAGAAACAATTTAATAATAGATTATGAAAATCGAATATGTATATTATCATGTATATATTATAAAGGAAAGAAAGGAAGAATAGTAACAATTACATATTGTGGATGGAATAAGTTTCGACATTACTCACAGTTTTCATCAGCTGTAATTAGGCTCCATCCGAAATTTATTCCATCTACAATAAAAACAAGAGGCACACACACATACGCACACATGCATGCAAATAATAAATCGAAATTATAACTAAACAGATGATAATGTTGAAAAGAGCTATAATAGATATATAGATTACATGTTATAGCGTCAAAGATAATTGTAAGTCATAATATATCTACAACATAATATATACATTTAATAATAAAAAAAATCACTGCCAATTTTATGGCAGTGAATAATATACATTGTTGAGAACTTCTTGATCTTCTTTCTGTTCGTTTCATGCTTCTTATTACAGTCACACAAATAAGATTGTTAAATGATTGTTATGTTAAATATTGTGTGTATATGATTGTTAAAAGAATTCCTATCAATGCAAATAGATAAATGTTCAACAATCAAATATAATAAAAAACCATTTTATTATGAGTCAACATAATAAAATTCAAATTGGTAATTTATTGTTGAATTTAGAAGTCTCCCCTCCGATCTTGATAAATTAGTCTCATTCGACACATTTTTGCATGAAATGAACGAATCTGGCAAAAGAAGTATCGCTCTGTCCCATGAATCAAGATATTAATTGCTAAAATTGACAGATATTCAAGAAAATCTGCCACATCAATGTCATAGGGTATAGAGGATTACATAAATTTTTTGCTTTATAAACATAAATTCTCCACTTTAAAATACAAATTTACTGCTAATGCAAAAAATACAAATTCACTGCTTTAAAAACGCAAATTCACTGCTTTAAAAATACAAATTCACTGCTAATGCAAAGAATTCGTGTGTTCAAAACAATAAATTTTTAAAGTGAATTTGTGTTTCTAAAGTACTGAATTAGAGTAATTAAAGCAGAACGTATAAATAGAGTTATATCGATCAGGATGACAGATATCTTAATATCTAAAATTTCGAACTTTAATGTTTAATAACTTGATTCACGGAGCCGACCGTCGCGTTTTTTTTCCTTTTCTTCTTTTTCAGATTCTTTCGTTTTGAGTGACAATACATCAAATGAGTACATTTTTAATAAGATTCTAGGAAGGGAACTATTCTATTATAATAATAATATTCCAAACAATTACCATTCTAATATATTCTAAATAATTACCATTTTTTTTTAAAGCAAAGGATTTTTTTAAGCAGAAAATTTATTTTTGAAACCGAAAACTTGTGTTAGAGAGAGAGATTGAAGCAAAAAATCTTCACTTACTTATGGTCTCGTATACCCCTAAACCATTGATGCACAACAGATTTCCTAATCTGAATATTTATCAACTTTAATAATTAATATCTCGGTTCGTGGGCGAACAGTTACAGAGCGATACTTTTTTTTTGCCAGATTTGTTTATTTTATGGAAAAATGCGTCGAAACAGACTAATTTTAACAAGATCGCAGGTGAGGCCCTTAAACTCAACAAACTATTCAAACAGATACATCGCTATTATTAAACTCCACTCTTTAAAAAAAATGTTTGTTTATTTTTAAGATATGTTTCGTAAAAATTCCACATTTCTGTCGCATTGACAGATATCGGTGGAGGAAAGGTTATATCTGTCCGCGTCATCGAAAAACCAGAGAAGAAAGTTATCGCGATGCAATCGATGGGCTTTACCTCGTTTCTCGTGCTCGCCATAATAAATTTAGTTTGCGCACGTTCTATTCAGTCATTACTAAAACCACTTGACTCGTTAGCAAGCAGTCTGAGGCAGTCGTCATCAATCTTCGCCTTCGATTCGACAACAAGTCATAACGACTTGAGCGACTACAGCGTACACGATCGGCGTAGACGATAGAAACGATGCAGCACCGACGAGCACCACGCGAGAGATTCAGGGAAAGAGGAAATAAACTGCGCGTCCGATTGGTCAAAGGTCACATTGTTGCGCTTACCGCGACGTTTGCATACGTATATGTACATATATATCTCCACGTACAATGGGTGATAAAAGGTCTGTTCGCAAAAGTTGTTGCATGAAATTTCCAAATATTTTTGCACTTAAAATGAGATAGATATATATTTGGCTTTGAAAAGAGAGAAAGCAAAGACGTTTCTCGCATGATGCGCATAGGCTGCACAGGTTAGAATCGTTTCGTTTCATCTAATGCGAGCATTGATAACACATACAATTCCTCCTACTATTAGCGCATGAACTATTACTAGTAGTCAATGCACGCATGCGCATTTTGAATTGCATGCTTCGTGCCTCCATGTTGTATATATATATATATATATATATACATCCATGCATACACGTGCCAAATATACAATAGAGCAGAAATCTTTGGATAAGTTGAAAGTAATTCGCCAATCGGCGAAAATCTATTAATTAATTACTATTATCTATTATTTAATATCTATTATTAGTATTTAATATTTATTATTTTTAATATCTATTACTTATTTCTTTCGAATCATATTGGCACATGCGTTCAAATGCATGAAACCATTCCGTTTCTAAGCGCCCATAAAGCGCATTGACGAAACGGAACACGGATATACATGTGTGCAGTGCATTGACTGCTACATATGTGTTCGATGCGAGAAGTGGAACGCATCCCTAATCCCCAGTCAAAATAACCTGCATACGCCACACGCGAGCAAGCGTTCAGTGTTGCCAGAAGGCTCTTAAAACCCCTTCATCAAAATCTCCCTAAACGTCCACTGTAATTATAGGTATTCGCATCCGTCATTTCTAGTCCTTTCCCCACTCTTTAAAATCTTCTCTCTTTAAAATCTTCTTATATCCGTATTCATAGTTCTTCCTTATTTTAAGAGTGGAGGATTCCTCGATTCTTCAAGACCTCCTTGTTTCATAATCACTAATCTCAAGTCTGCCTTCCCGAAGGAAGGAATATTTTAGGGATTTTAGTAACCTACTGAAGACAGCATATATCATAATATATATTATATATGCAAACCTAATATAAAATTAAAAATTACGAATAATAAAGATTATAAAGGCATTGTTGATTAAATAAAATCGCGATTAAGTATTTTGCAGCAATGGACAAAAATAAAACTAATAGCGAACTCGATTTGACGCACTAAGTGCGCACTGATGCACATAAAACTGCCATGCATACACAAATAAATATATGTTTATAAATAAACATAAGAATCGATTAAATCGTGAAATATATTTTGTTGTACAATTAGATAAAATATTTCATAATGTTTCATAATATTCGACTGGAAGCACTGATGCATATTAAAGCCATTGTACACTAATTTCATTTTAGTATAAAAATAAAATACAAATATCTCGAATTATATGTGTACATATTTTATCTAATAGTGCAATAAAATGTATTGAGTATTTCACAATTTAATCGATTTTTATGTTTAATTATAAACATATAAACATATTTACGTTATTTTGTGTTTTAACGTGCATAAGTGCGTCCATTCGAATTCGCTATTAGTTTTTGTCTACTTTTGTTATTATTGTAAAATGCTTAATCACGACTTTATTTAATCAACAACTTTTATAACTAATTTATAACTTTTAGGACCAGTTTCACCAACGCACAGTGAGCTAGGGATCCCAAAAAGTGGCCAAAATTCAAAATGTTGATGGATTTGCGTGAAACTTGGTTGTGGGTATTTATGTTTCCGGCAATGTTCGTCGCGCGCGATATCCAATGAGTGTACAGCTTTACATTCTAAAGGTATATTCTTATTGGATGTCGCGTGTCGCGTGCGACAAACATCGCGCTGGTGTGCCAGAGCTATTAGCAGTTTTTTCGTTGATATATCGAATCTGATGTCAAAAGCAAAAATTTCAAAATGGTGGATCCAATACGGTTATAATTGCGAAATTTTTATGGATTTGCATGAAACTCAGTGCCTAGGAGTTTTTGGGGGGGGGGGGGTCGCTAATTTCGAATCTGATATTAAAACAAAAAATTTGAAATAGCGCAATATAGCAAATCCTAAACCTAAACTTCAAAACTAGTGTAGAATTTGTGTAAAAATTTTGTGTTTTCCATAACTCTTTTATGTTGCTGAGTACAATTCTTAAAATTAAATGTTACGTCTATGATTAGCCTACAACACTATAATTTCTAGAGTCTATAATGAAGAGATTATAGTGCGATTTTAAATTCCTTTAGGCCGGAATCGGACTACGCATTGAAGAATAAGATTGAAGATTGAAAAATTAAAGTTTAACCAATCAGAACAAAAGGAGTAGAACAAAAATTTTTTGTCCTCATTAGTGAAATTTCTTCAATACATAATCTGATTCCGGCCTTAGGATACTTGTTTTATGTGAATCCTCTTGTATGTGGAGATGTATATTGCTCGCTCGCTTGCAATTTTCGATGATATTTACAAGGAGTATTCATAATTAGGTGTACAACTTTGCTTCCGCCGTTTTTTTTCCGAAATTCGACGCTTCATTGTAAAAAACTGGTTATACATTTATGATTCAAAGTATTGTCCATCGCTAGCCACTACTTTCTCCCATCTTTCGGGTAGCGTACGAATCCCGTGTCGAAAAAACTCATCTTTTGAGGCTATCCACGAATCGATCCAATTTTTTACTTCTTCATAAGACCGGAAGTGCTGGTCAGTCAGGCCGTGTGCCATTGATCGAAACAAGTGATAGTCAGAGGAAGCAACGTCTGGAGAATACGACGGGTGGGGTAAGACTTCCCATTTCAATATTTCCAAGTATATCTTGACCACTTTCGCAACATGGGGTCGAGCATTGTCATGCTGCAAAATCACTTTATCGTGTCTCTCGTTGTATTGCGGCCGTTCGTCTTTCAATGTTCGGCTCAAACGCATCAATTGCGTTCGATACCGATCGCCTGTGATTGTTTCAGTCGGTTTTAACAATTCATAATACACTACGCCGAGCTGGTCCCACCAAATACAGAGCATGACCTTGGA